AAAGAGGCCTTTGCTGTTCTTTTGCCTTGGTTAGAGACTTGCTGTGCAAGCTTAGGTAACTTGCTTTCACCTGCCAGTTGTGGCCACCAGGAAAACTAAGGCTTTAAAATAATTCTCTTTGGTGTTGTTGCCTCATGTGATATCCTGAAAACGCTTGTAATTCTTTCATTAAAGTTTTTCTCAGAATGTGATTTCTTTAAGATAAGATCACCTCTAGTCCTATCCCATTGTAGCAAGCTTTCGTAGACCGGGTAAGCTTGTGAACTTAAATGTTTCTGGCTAAAAGTTGTTATGTAGTGAGCAGTGTATTCGCATCTTTCTTCTCTTTTAGAACATCCAAACTGCAGGCACCAAATGCAGCTGTCTCTGGAGGTTTATTTTGCAGTCACCTGCTGTATTTCTCTGTTTCTCAGCAGTCTTAGATAAGTCTCAAATCTTATTCACACAATAATTTAATGAAATTGCAAAGGCTCTCAAAATTTAAAAAAAATGCACTTTTAAGTTCACAGTTAGAAAATAATGTGATATTCCATAACACTCTACAAGAAACCTACCACCACAGCCTGCCTGTAGGTGTCAGTGAAACCTCACTGCTCAGTTCTCTGAATTGCAGCTTTGATACCTTTCGCGTCCAGACCGCACTGGTTTTCACAGAAGGGCTGAGTACCCATACTTGATAAGTACTTCAGAGGGAGTTGTAGATGCTCAGTACTTCCAGACAGCAAGATCCAGATGCGCAGGACTCAGGAGAGCATTATAAGGCCAGATTTTAGTGGGTAGCTAATGGGAGAGGTTATAACAATTCACTGTGAGCTATCCATATCCTGTGGTGTTGTTTTCTTCCTTCTAGATCATTATATTGAGGTCCTTGCCTGCAAAGTAGAGTGTGAGAGTAATCTGACCCCTATTATCGGAGGCTTTGTTGTGGAGAAATTTGTGGCCACCATGTACCATTACTTGCAGTTTGCTTATTATAAATGTAAGTAGTCAATGTGCTTAAATATCATTGGGACAGTTTCTATTCGTAATCTTTCCCCTCTAGCTATAATGCTTTAGAATGTAAATAGAGGCCTCTAGAATCTTCATCTTAACCTGTTTTGGGACAGAAAGTCTGAGCTGCCTGGCATCTTGTTCTCCCTATGTAACTGTAGTTAATAGACGTGGGGGATAAACATTACGTACAGAGCCCATGCTCATAAAATTGTCCATGACAAAATAAACTGCTGAACGCAAGTTCCATAAAGGCTGGATTTTGCCCAGGGCAGGCCCCTCTGTTTTAAATTATGCATGGTTGTGACTGGTTTACACTTGGGTGTAGGAAAAATGAGGTAGTTACAGAATAAGTGTGATCTGATCCATCACTGCCTTCATTCCTTATATAATACCTACTGCCAGCGTGAGTTGCTTGCACTTTTCAGAGTTTCACATGAATGATAAATGTTCATGTGAATGATGAATGTTCATCATATGTATTTTAAATGTTTGAATGATACATCAACTCTTCTTCCTTTTTGAAGTAACGCATAACATAATATGTTATGGTAAACAGTGTCAGCCACTTCTGATACATTGGAACACATGCAATGACGTCGACTCATTTTGTCCACCTATGTACAAAAACCCATGGTTTGTGCCAAAAAGCCACAGTGGTTAGCAGTCAGGCCCACATAGTTGTTAAGCAGCTGAATGTGTAGTTCTAACAAGAAGTTGTTTCTTAAACTTCCAACTCTTGTCATAGAGACAAGAAAGATTGTGACTTCAAGACAGCATATTTACCATAGCACCACTTATTTTACTGAATAAATATTCAATTTTCAATTTACTATTCAGAATTTCTTCCGTGGGCAAACCTACAGAATATTTCATACCATTCACTTTTTCCTAATGGATTCCTGTAATCCAGTTAGAATGGGGCACATGGAGCTAAACAAGTTTTGAAGAAAGAGAGGACCATGTAACAGAAATTGTAGTGTTGTGGTGCTCAATGATCATATGATAAGTAAATAATTCCGTGAGTTTGGTGGTTTCTTGAGGAACTACTTGCACTGTAAAGAACACAAGTAGCACTTACAGCTACTGCTGCAGGCTCCAACATCAAAGGGGAGACACATCCAGCCGTGCAGCATCAAGCCATTAATGAGTTTTGCTTATGTTGTTTGACTACACATTTTACACGTTGTCTCTTCCCTCTTCATCAATTTTAGTATAAAGGAGTGGGTTCTTTTTAAAATTTATCTTTTAGTTTGTTTGGTTTTTTTAAATAAATGCGCCAGTGGGGGTCACTAAGCTGTGGGCTGATACCTCACTGATACTGGGATACCTGGAAGGGACGTTTGGTTAGGATTTTCATAGAAAACCATCAGAAGTAGGTCCTCATTTTTGAACCATGGCCTCACCTGTTTCAGAACACAAAACCAGCATGTCCTTTCTGAGAAACAATTTTTTTTTTTTGTTACTTTACAGTTGTTGGGGAGGTAGAAGATGGGTCCTGAAAAACCCATGTGAGTTTTTCAGAGCTTAGGTAACAGTAGGAAATTGTTAATTTACGTTATCTGGTTTTTTTTTCTGTGTGTTTATTAATTAGTGAATGACATGAAGAATGCAGCTTCTTGTGCTGCCAGTTACCTTCTGTTTGACCAGAAAGATGAAGTAATGAAACAGAACATGGTCTATTATCAGTACCACAAAGACAAATGGGGACTTACAGAAGAGGATTTTCAGCCCAGATCGGTAGGTGAATTACTTAAAATGCCTTCTAAATCATTCAGCTATTTCCCTGGAACTCAGTGGGTCAGAACTTGGGAAAATGGGGATTATCTATTGGTTCTGGAGTTAAACACATACGGTTTTATTAAAGCCATAAAGTTGTACGCAGAGATATACTGTATAATGTAGACAGTGAATGTCATTCTAGTTCTTCCCTTTGTGTTGAAATACAGTACAAAAGGATATAATATGGTAAGATGACAAGTAAATTCATGCTGCTGCTTGTCTGCCACTTAAGCATATTCATATCTTTATGTACCTCAATAAATAAAGTAGCTGGCCCCTGAAACCTCCTGATGAAAAGATCGCTCCAGTAGCATTCAGGCTTTTGTCAATCACTTATTTGCCAATATATTAGTTGCCCACCTGCTTGTTATGTCCGGTTCTGTGGGCATTGGAATGTGTCTGGATATGATAACCTCAGCTAAACTCACTTTCCACTTACTCCATTTAGAACATAGCTTGGTGTCTGAGGACATAAAAAGGCTTAGGACCGTATTACATCTAACTATCTCAGTTAAAATACTTGCTGCAAAGAACCGGCAATAAATATCAGTCCATCCAGCAATGATTGTGATCTGGCTTTGAAAAATTACTCTAAAAATAGATTTCTCTGCTGTTCTTAAATTTCCATGTCTAAGGAAATTTTACATATAAAAGCATCTTTGCTGTCCTTCTGGACTCCTGCAGCCTGGACTCTGACAATCAAATTGTATTTTCTGTCATTTCTTGTTACCAGGATTTATGTTATACAACTGAATTAACTGCTTTGTGACACCTATGTCAGTGGTACATGCTGTACAACTAGTTAGTCATTAGCAATACATGTTCCACAAATACATGTTCTACAAATTATGTTTAGTGCCTTCTCTTTCTTTTACTGCACGACTTCCCCATGGAAGAGTCATTCTAGTTAACCTCGCTGAAGCAACAGCAGGCACCTCACAGGGTAACATTTCAGTGGCCTTTCCCACGTTGCTTCTTCAGACATCTCCGTCACTGAGACCTGTACTGACCCAAGGGCACATCCCTTGATTTTTGACGCTGCATTAAGCTCAGTACATATATGTAGTGCTGAGATGCCTGACTTTATCTGTAGCAACACTGCAGAGCAGTTCACGTATGCACCTTGTAGGTTGCACTGATTTGATAATTACATTTTCCATCCTCTCAGGCCAGCCAGCTCCAGTGAGAAATACCACTCCATCTGAGTTAAGTGGTTTTTGGTTGTGGACATCTGTGGAGTTATGAGCTACACACCTTATCTGCACACTGGAAACGCAGGCCTGCCCTGCAGGGCCAAGAAGACGGTGAAAATGCGTTTGGTCCTTTCAGGCAACAGCAGCAGCAAGTTTGAGCTCACAGGGGAAAGGGACCACTCCTTTGTCACTGCTTTTGGGAACAGAACTGTGCTTTATAGCCATACTGGAGACAATGTTCGATGGTGGTTGGAGTTAGGGGTAGAGACAGTATGAAACTGCAAACCGCAGACAGATTTGGCATACGTGTGCAGAGAGGACAGAACAAGAGCCCTACACATTAACTCTGAATGTTTCATTGATAACTTCTTAGGAGCTGGGGACTACAGATAATTTATTTTTTAAATATAAAATATTAAATGCACACAGCTGTATTTTCTTGTACTTTGATCCATGTAATTATGAACAGAAATTGCTCGCTGTCCTAATCACTTGCCATGAAAACCATAGTGCCTCTGGTTTATTTTCACAAAGCGAAATGGGGTGTCAGCAGCATTTGGCTCTGGCACTAAGCTTTAGATGTTCTTGTGGAAGAGGAAGTCTCTTGTTTTCTTCCCCAAAAAAGAATTAAATGGGATAATCAAAGTCGGTTACTGTTGGTATTTGCAATTGTGAGAGTGGGTGACTGAGCTAAACTGTGCCATCCAGGCAGACAGCTGGGAAGGTGAGGGACAGGTGAGCAACCCTGCAGAATTTCCCCAGCCCAGCCTCAGGCCGTGGCGGTGAGGCATTTTCATGCAAAGCAGCTCAGTGTCTCTTTTTCCCAGAATTGCCTGCCGCTGTATGCCAGCACACACCAGCGCACAGGGAGACAGAGGCTTTCTCACGTCCAAAGCCCGCTGGAATGCAGGCGCAGGCTGCTGCTCCGTTCTGGCAGTCTCATTCCTATTTTCAGACTTGCCAATGCTTTGAAACATGAGAAAGGGGAGAGCACTTTGTTGTTCTCACACCGATGGAGCCTGTGCTTAGAGAGATCCACAGAAGACACTGGATACGCTGCTGTTCTGCTGTTTCCTTTCTTAAACATTATAACCCCTCCCAGGATCTACCTTCTATGAAGTCTGGGTCTGACTTCACTGAAATAGTTTCAGGTGACATCTGATGATGTTCCCCTGTCTTGCTACCCTAAAGTAACACAGAAATTTTGTTTTTTGATAGGAAGCAGTTCGATACCACAATATAACCACGCTCCAGTTGGAAATGTATGAATTTGCAAAGGAACATCTGATGGATGATGATGAGGTGAGTTTTCTAGAAAGGAAATACTGGTCAAAAAAAGCAGCGATCATTGAAAGTGAAGATGATACATACATGAAATTCCAGGATTTAGCATATATGGAAAAATATTCTTGTAACCATGACCAATTTATCGAAATTTATTTCTTTTCTAAATGGAATATAAGAAACAAACCCAGAGAACATCATGTACCATTTAAAAATATGGGACAGTATTAACACAAGGGTAAATATAATGCACTCACCCGACAAAAAAAGAAAATCCACTTTGCAAGCTATAACACCAGGGGGCAGGGGAGTAGTGTATATATTTAAACAAAACATTTTTCTGTTTGTGGTTGGTTGTTTTTTGTTGGTTTTTTTTTCTGAAATGTTTAAATTAGATTTAAAGATCCTCATAGTTTTGTCCAAAAGTAACCACCTCAATTGTAGTTTTTGTCAAAAGAAAATCTTGTTATCTGTTATTTTTTTCTGTACAGTAACATTTTGGTCACCCAGTCTTGCTTCTTAAATGGTTGGAACTCATGGCCAAATAACATATAATGACTACTATTAGACTGGAAATATGTAAAGTGGATTTTTTGTGCAAGAAAACTAGCTAAGTTGTTGAAAGGGCATTTCTTTGTCTCCGACAACTGAAATTAAAGTATAAATCGTGGAAGCTTTGGATTGTTGTTTGTTTTGCTTTGTTTTCAGAACCTTTCATTTAAAGGTTTAAAAACTCTGGCATTAGCAAAGAGTTATGTTCAGTTATGGCATCAGGCAGCGTACTTGAAATGAGTTCTGCTGAGGTCTTTTTTAGTTAGACAAGGGAAAGATGGTTTATGATAAAAAATGAAATCACCTTTGCAATTTTTATATATCCAGCACATAGGGAGAGATAATATTTTGCAGTGGAGAAGTAATAGCATGTCTGTGCTGCCTTCAGTGTGCTAGTGACCTGAAAACAACTTTATACATAAAATACCATTGTAATGTTACCAGACTTTAGGAAGACTTTCCATTGTGATAGAACTCTGTGAAAGACAGTTTCATAAGTTTGTTACAGGTTTAAGCTTAGATGAGGACTAGTCTGCATGGATTTTCATCAGGGTGTGAGATACTTGAGCACTTTTTTATATCCCCTTGTTGGTTTGTGCTTTGCCCATAATGTTTTCTTACATTAGACATAGATTTAATTTATATTTTTTTCCTTCTTTCACATCCGCTGCTTTGAAACCCAGGGATGAGTAATTAAGGAATGAGAGAAGCAATCTATTGTGAGGGCTTTCCCCATATGTTGTTACAAGAAGGGATTATAGAAACAATCTTCAGCCTTGAGCGCTGTGTATAGAATAAACCAGCATTCATGTGCTGGCATTCATTCCTGTAGCCTATTTCACTGGTGCAGTTATAAATGACCTTGCAATGGAAAGGTCAATTAAACTTTTGGGGAAATGTCAAAGGAAGTCACATTATGCTGGATTTCAACTTTGGATTAAACAACCAAAATTACTGGGCCTGGTCACACCACAGATATCCCTACCCCACATTCTTACCATATTAGGGAAGTTATCATTCCCATCTCTGGGGAAAAGCTGAAGGGCTTCTGTGTCCCCCTCACCAGAACCTGGGAGGGCTGGAGGCTGTCAGTGCTTCTGGCTTGGCTCTGGCTTTCGGTAGTGAACTCAGAAATCCCTGGCGACCAGAGCTTCTCTTTGGCTGCAGGAGCCTTTCAGGGAGTCCAGCCAGAGCAGGAGCAGCACAAAGGTAAAATCACTACCTTGCAGTTTCTGCTATGGGCAGGGCCTGGTAGTGTAAGTGGAATTTTAGTTTTTAATATTTCTTCTGGCACGGATAGGAAAGTTTATTCTGTATGGATGCTGAAAACTGATGAAAAACCCAGATAAGGTGTTACAGTAAAAGCTTTATTAAAATTTGTTAAGGATGGAGGCAGCCTCTCCTTTTTGTGCACTCTGTTCATTTAAACCATGTGCTTCTAGGGCCATAGGCCATGCCTTTTGTGAGTTTCTGTGGTCCATGTTTGCTGTCTGTGAAGTTGCTTCTGGGCCAGCAAGGCCATAAAATAATCTGTGGAAAAAATCAATCTCTTCCCTTGAGTGAAGCAAAAAGATTGATGTGGCAAAAGGATTTCTGTGTGAATGTCATCATTCCCAAGTGGAGAATCTCACTCTATTCAGACTTCTCAGTGTTCCTGTGTCCCAGAGCATCCATGTGTCTTTTAAAATCCCATTAGCAAAGCGCACAAGAACATGTAGCTTCTTCCAATAATACATTGCAGTAATTGCAGAGGCTGGAGTATGCAGTAATGATTTTTGCATATGTCACCACAAGAAACACTGTCCTGTTTGTGTTACTTTATTAATGTTTTTCCACAAGGAAGTTAAAAACTCTAGTTCAAACATTAAACACAGTAGAGGTGACAGAGAATATTAGTGCCAACTAGCTACAAATTGCTTTTAAGAAAAGTAATTATTATTAAATATCCTTACAGTTTTCCACAGTGAAGTTAAAAGAACATTACACAGTGCTGTCATCTTAGTTGGCCATGCATAGTCAAGTTTCTTGATTTCTGTTCAGATGTGTAATGCATAAAGGCTATTATAGATCTAACTCCTAGTTTTGCACAGATTTAAATAACAAATTGAAAGGCTGTTAAGAGTCAGATACCCAGCTAGTGTAGATATAACTTCAGCACTACACTAATTATATGAGACATGTTTCTGGCCTATAAATTCTGTGTTCATGAGGATTTTTTTTTTCTCAGGGATAGCTACTTAGCTGTTCTAAATTACATAAGAACCGCAACTACTTGGCTGGTATGATCCTACAATGTGATTTTTCTTTCAGTACTTGATCAGTAGGTGAAAAACTGTTGGCAGCTTTGACACACTTTTTTGGCACCGTGTTCTTTTTATTTGTATATAATGTGTGTGTCCATTTGTGTAGTAGCTGAAATTCAAATGCTCCATTCCTAAGTGTGATGTGTTGAACTAAAGGGACTGGTGAAAGGAGAAGATATGGAATAGCATCAAAGCACGAGGCCCCGGTGGACTACTGGTAGCAAATAATAATGTGAATTCAGCCTATTTTTCAGTTCAGGAATTACTATTTTCAGGTCTATTAACTCACTGTTTGCATATCTTCAAATGATTTATATAAATGTGCTCCTAAAGGGAAGTTATAAATGCAGACCTGTGAACCCTGCCTTCTCTGTGGCCTCAGACTGACACTACTACAGTAGCACCACTACACTGAGAGGAGCTGGTGGCAGCTGTTTCAGAGGGAGTTGGCCGGTGATTGGCATTGCTATGGTCAGTGTTCAACATACACTGCTTTAAAGAAAAAAGATGTTTTCATCATCATTTCCTAGTGGAGATCGTGCACATGTGGCTGGCTCTCCAGAAATGTCCTGCTTTCCCCTCTTGCTTCTTGAACCATTGTATGTGTATCTCGGTCAAAGATGTTCCTCCTTCTGATTAAACCAGTTAGTTGCAAGGATGGTGGGGCTTAAATGGCAGGATTCCCCAAAGTTGCAGGTACTGACATGAGGAAGAATTTTTACCTGTCCAGATTTCATGCTTCTGCATGCAGCATAGACCAGCTGCATAAGCAGAGCTCAGAAACAAAGCCACTAGAAGACTTCTGTTTTCAGTGCAATGGGAGCAACGTTGAAGTTGCTCTGAAGCTGGGTTGACTCATGTTTTATAGGCATTATAAAAAGGTTAAAAGGAAAGGACATTTATTGGATTACTGTAAAATACTGTTGTAATAACTGCAGTGTACTGCAGTCTCCCATAGTATATGGGAAGAGAGCGGTTACATGTTCAGAATATGTAATTAAAAAATGAAATGGAAAAATAATTGAGAAAAGAAGTTAACATACATGTAAAGAACAACTAAGCTCTTCTAATATTAAAAACAACTCCTTAAAAGCATGTGACAGCAGGTCACACTGTGGACTAAGTATCTGAAAAATAAACAAGTTAAGGGCCAAATAATTCTTCTGCACAAAGAATTCAGTGATTTCCCCCCCACACCTGCTAGAATGTGAGGTATGTCCAGCTTGGTCTGTACTGCTTGTAGAGGATCTGGGAGGGCTTTGAGGTGGTTACAGTGAACTCACGTGTTTTAACTGAAGATTAGAACAAGGAACATTTTCTTGGTCAAAGGCTGAATGAACCTTTCAGACTGAGCCACTCATTGACACATGCCTTACTGTTATCCCGAAATAATGTCACTCCCCTCCAAAATATCGCTGGCCAGTGGGCTGTGTGATGTGTACTTGCAGGCTCTATCAGGCCCATGAAGTGTGTATCCTTCACAGTCAGCCATATCAAACCTTTTTCTTCTCTCTTGCAAGATGGTTATTTGTCCTCAGACAAAATCTGCTGCTTTTTATGAATCTAACTCCTTGTTGCTACTCTCATTAGTAGCAGTTACTCATTAGTTAAAGGGCAGCCCTCGCCTCTCCTCACAGAGGCCACCCCTGCAACCCTTCCTGCTACCACAACCTTGCCACCTACCCCCAATACGTAAGGGAATCAAATCTGTTACTCTCAATGTTAAATAAGTTTCCAGTCATTAAGATTTTTGAACTTTAGCAAAATCTGAATTTTTGCTGAGAAGGATAGCCAGTGGACGTTTTGTGGGATAAATATTTTCCTTCTAAGTCACAAATTTTAAGGGAGCAAAGATCCAGCCAATTCTCCTTGCTCTCTGTATTGTCTCTTAAGGCTCAGTTTGCTGGGTGAGTTAGGATAAAGTTATGTTTCTTATTCGTTCACTGATAATCACACATGAAAGCATGTCCATAATAACATCTTTCTGTAGCTCTTCATTCTAGAACACTGTTATTTTAGTATTCTCTGTTATTTCCCCGGAGAACAGGCTATATCCCACTGCAGTGCATAGGGAATCTCTACAGAAAAGGCCAACAGCAGATCTGCATGGAAAGTATGAGTTATTGCAAGAAGAAAACTGTTTTTTTCCCAGCTCTTTTCCAGTCCACATTGAGAAAGGACAGAAAAGATTGTAGGGGGAGGCAAGGACCTGCGAATGATTAATATTTGCTATGCAGAAGGCAATGCTTCGTCTTTGCAACCAACAGCAAAGTGTCTGGGCGTGTCGTTGAGCTGTACAACTGCTGCTGCTTGCTACTATTTTTAAATGCTGCTGTCAAATGAAAAGTTGGTGCTGGACCATCAGTCTCAAGTGGGCCATAACTGAGCCATATATTGGTAGCTTTTCCTCTTTGCTGTTTATTTTAATAGCTGGCTAGGAGCCTCCAAAGTACAGATGTTTCTTCTAAAAGTTTGTGTTTTGTGTGTGTGTGTGAATGCAGCATTTAATATTGCATAAGGAAGGGCCGGCAACAATCCCTGGCCCAATATGTACCTTGGTCTTGGACACTCAGCTTGTGGTAGTAAGTGTGGAGTTCTGCATTTTTTACGACTTAGTTTTTTAAAATGCTCTAGCTTCACTTATAATGGTCCACCAGTCTCACTAGCTTGGGTTAGCTTATTCAGAATTGACCAAGAACTCTATTTTAAAATTATTTTTTATTATAATCCACCTACTCACTTACCCTCTGTAAAGCCACCTTGAGTTACCTACTGTGATACAAAGCTTGTTCTTTCTGTTTGTGCCTCTGTTCAGTTGATCTATGCCCTTGGTGCTCAGTTTGTGTATCTGGCGGATAATTAGAGGCTCCAGTTGATCAGATCAGCTTCTCTGATGCTTCCTACCACTCACACCAGTCTGGGAGCATTCCCCTGCTGCCTTCCATATTTCAGGCTATACCTGTCCTGTCTTTCCCCATACATCCTTGCTGTCACTCCCACTCTGCTGACTGTCCCTGGATTGGGAGAAGGAGGAGGTGGGACCTGGGACCTGCAGGCACGTGCCTGACCTCCAGCACCAACCAGGGAGCAGTGACTGTGGACCAAAGATCATCTTGCTAACACGGATGTGCTTCATTGCGGCTGACCAAGCAGTCCACATGCGTGTACTTTCCAGTTGTTGGCTGCCCAACTATCAGGTATATACTGGTCTGGAGGCAAACCATTCTCTCCCCTGAGCTTAGCCAGACTTCACGTGCTGATTTGCTAGCTACCAGCCAGATGGCTACATCATGCTGTGGGCTATATATTGCTCAACACTGATTTACATCAGCACCATGTCTGAGCACTGTATTTATGTAACCTGTATTAGAGCTGGGTGGCTGTTGTCCCCTGTTGTAGCTGGCAGCAGAAAGAATTATGCTTTTGCAGCTGACTTTGCACGTAAAATTTGTCATCCTTCCTGTGAAGGTAGGTAGGTCCCAAAAAAAATGAGGAACTCTGATCACACTGAACGCTTAATCGTATCAATGAATAATTTCCAGACTCCAGGTCTGCAGGTCAGGGTGAAGTTATTAGATATTTTTCCCTGGAATGAACACCTGTGAAATACCTGCTAACTGATGTGGTGTCAGGTGAGTGATAATGGGGCAAGGACAGGGATCAATCAGGTCATGGCTGCTGGTGTGACAACGTGAGCAGCTCTTCTGACGTAGCATTACGACCTTTCCATTTGGATGCCAACCACAGTATGGACAGCTTCCCAATGCTTTACATTCTGACCATTTTGTTTGTCTTTAACTGTGATATGGGGGGTTTTGCCTTTTCAAAAATAACCAATATCCAGGCAGTTATTCCATTGCTTTACAGCATATTTTCTGTATATGTTTTGTTTCAGCAACTGTTTTTATACTTTTGCCATATTTCAACCTCTCTTCTCACCAGTACTTCTCAGTAGACCACAAAAGCTTAGTCATACCTTCCTTTAAAGATCAATTTCAGGCACTGGAGATTTCAGATTTCAGTCAAATTTATTTCAAATATTGTTGCTTTGAAACATCCTTTTCCATTTAAAACTTGGGCTTCCTACGTGTTCCTGGATTTGAAAACATACTAGAAGAAAAAAACCAAACTGAATTCTGTCTGTATCTTCTGTGTCTTCCGAAGTACCTTACTGATGAGCGTGACAATAATATAAATTAAATTGAGTTCCCATATGGTTGAGTTACCAAAGGTACAATATTGAAATCCCCATTCCTTCCTGATACTTAATTCTGGGTCATCCAGTCAGTTTATGCCTTTCACCCTTCCTCTCTGGCTCTTATGTTTTGGGGGTTATCTTTGCAGGTAGACCAAGGGCAGAATTCCTTTTTAATATCTGTTTTTCTTCCATTAAACTGCAGTCCTGAGCTGTAAAAGAATCAGTCTGAATTAGATCTGGGCCCCATATATTTCGAGTAGACACCTGCATCTCAAGTCTTGAAACTCTGTGTGGAGCTAACAGGACCTACCTGTCGCCCTTCAAGAGACACCCAAATGCTTATGCCCACAGTTCTGGGAGCTGCGCTAGAAAACTTGACCTCTGTGCCTCTGTTTCTGTATCTCTCAGTGTCAACAGTGACTGTTGGACCTAGTGGCTATTTTCTTCCTGTGCATTTGTGAAGTGGGATTGAGTTCCTGCTATTATTTGGCTCCTTAGGCCATCAGAATACTTCTAACAAAGGAAAACGTGCAGAATTGTCAAATTCCTGGTTTTCCAGTTGCCAGACTTCCTGCAACCAGGAAGACACGTGGGGAATATGAAGGTGCTAGCTTTTTTTTTTCTTGTGTTTTTATTGAATTGGATACTTAGATGTTTTGAACCAAAGCAAAATAAATTGCCACCCTTCAGGACTTGTTAAAACCACTTCATAGTTGCAAAAACTCAGCAGTCTTAAGATGGGACTGTGAAGCAGGGAACAAGAACAGCAGTTACTTCAGCCAGCTTTCCTGCTACTTTTATTTTTGTTTGATTGGTTCTCATTTCTCTCCTTGCTCATCACACTTCTGAAAAATGTGATGCTAATATTTTTAATCACTATATCCATAATACAGTTTTTGTTTTCAAAATAAACAAAAGTTTTCTATTTCCCCTTACTATTTTCGCTGAAATAAGTTTTAATGCCCTTTCTTCACCAGAATAGAAAACTAAAATTTTGAGTCTCAAACTGCATGTGTCTGGAAGGTGCTGTCTTCATAAAGGACAAAATTTGTCCTTTCTAGACAAAAATGTGCTTTAATTAGGATTGTAAAATACTGGGTTTAGTCTTCATTGATCAGACTCAAGATACAGTTCCCAAAGACTTTGAATGGGGGGTGAAGAGAAGAGGGAGAATGAGCAGCTGAGCAAGAATGACTTCCATTCAACATAAGTGCTATAAATTCTCATTATTTAAAACATGAGACTGAGTAAAAGCTGATCAGATTTCCTAGCAGAATATTTTTCTATCAGAAAGTGACAATTTGGCAAAAAACAGCAGAGTGGAGCTTGTAAATACACTGTTTTCTGGTCTGAATCTAAACATTTTTGTTTCCCATATGGAGAACATTGTAATGTCTCTGGTTCTTTACATTTTGGCTGCACTGAAGCGTGACTTGTGAAGATCTGTGGTTGACAGTGGAGATGGTGCGTGCTGAAGGGTGCAACACAGGGTATAAACAGCAGACAGATGCAAAGTCAAAGTTACAGTTCTACAAAACACTATTGCTTTGAATTTTGAAGCTTTCTAGATTTCTTTAATGTTTTATGGGATTTTAACAATTTCCTGATTTACCAAGTGTTAATTTATGTCTATACTTTCTAAGTTTGAGGATTTCATTGTCTATTTAAATACCTGAAAAAGGAGGATTTACAGTGAAGTGTAACCTTTCCTTCTTTTAAGATCTTTAAGTAGTTGTGCTACCCTCATATGGGCCATTTACTTGCATTTTATAGGCTTGTTGTCCTAGCTTCTATATGAAGGGTGTTAAAAAATATTTAGACACCTATTATTACTAGTTTATGTTTTTATGAAAATTGCTAAATTCTTCCACTGATTTTTCAGCACAGAGTTAACCTGTTTCTGTTAAATTTAATCATTTCTAGGGTGAAGTTGTGGAATTCCTTGATGAGTCGTTAGAAGCAAAGGAAAAGAAGGAATCCTGATGAATGAAATCACCACCGAGTATTGTACAGAAGTGAAGACTCACTCACCATTGCTCCTTACTATTGTTTTTGGTTGCCTGTAGTTCCAGTTAGATATACCTCAAAGCTACTCCCGAAAGGTCACTTCCATGCTGCACTGACTCTTTGGTGAGCATGGCTTTTCCCTGTGCATTTACAGAGTTGGTGCCTATGCGTTTTCCTCTTGAGCTTTCTTTTCTTTACACAACAAAGCAGACTGTTTGTATTTTCTGGGCTAACACTAAGGTTCCTCATTTTGGTGCTCTTCTACCGAGTTATAACAGTACAGCTGAATTCCAAAGAACTTTTGTCAGATTATGAACCACAAAAGACCTAACAGCTCCTCCAGACTTTCTGAGCTATGTATTGTATTATTTATATATGTCTTTTTCTGTGATGATGAATAAAGTGATACTGAATCCCAGTGCACCTGAAAGATGTTAAGATACATTTAAATAGCTGAGATAAGATGATTAACAAAGCACAACTAGTGATGTTGTAAAAACGGCTTCAAGAATTCTGTCATCAGTGTTGTTCTTTCTTAAAAAACTAAATTTAATTCCATGATGTGAAACTGAGGTCACTTATAACTGAATAATAAATAATTCCTTCTTCCTACCAGTTCTTACTCTTTCTGTTGAAACTTGTGGTTCCTGTGTGAGGAGAGGCTAATCTTGTATAAAATAACGATGGATGTATTTAGTATTCTGCTCTGTAGAAAACAGTTTGCATGGTTTTTTCAGTCTGGTGGGACTATCTTCATTGTTTTCATCCAAAAGTAATTACAGGTGGAGACTGAGGCATTTTAAGTGGAATCATAAAAAATATTTGCCTGAATTCTTGACATTTTTGTTAACCATATGGCAGAGTCCAATACAGAAATACTTTAAAGGCCTAAAAACCACTGTGTCAGAGATGAGTAGTGAATCAGGGCACAAGACTGCTGAAGAGCAGAAATCCCTTTGACCACAGAGGAGGATCCAAGCTTTCATATTTCGCTTTCCTCTTTTGTTTTTAAAGATTGAGTGCTGCAAGTGCTTTCATTATGCTTACATCAAGGGGAGACAAGAGCAACCAGTGCCTTTTTGACTGAACCCTAATTCAGCTGAATGGAAGTGAATTGCAAAACCAAAATCTGCTTTGGGATTTTAAAAAGACAAATCACTGAGTTGTTGCTGCTATAGCTTATGAATGCTGTAGAAGTACAGTGTCTGCACTACTGAGTGTCTACAGAAAATAAGGAGGAATCCACAGGTTCAGATTCAAGTGTCCTTCAGTCTATGACAGCCATGAAAAATTTTAAAATGTTAAAACTGTCTGTGAAAGATGTTTGGAAGATCAGATTGGTTTTTAGCTTCAATATAAATCACAACTAATCCACTGCAGTAGATGAACAGACTGTTTTATTCTCAAAATGAAAATCTATCAAGAGCCTTTTAACTTTGGGAGATTTACCTAGCTCCACTTGTGGTAATAAGACCAGAATCTGGCTTGCTGTACGCTTTGAACATACAGAGGGTGTATCAGATTCACCATCAGATGTGTAGCTTCTCCAGTTTGTCCCTAGTTTTCTCTTGCTAGAGGTACGTGTATGCTCAGGTGAGAGGTTACTGCTCTGGAGGCCTCTTTTGTCCTTCTGCTTTCCAACCTGCATAGGACAACTCTAGATTTTCGTCTCAGGAACTGCACCATTGATGTTAAGTTCACCTGCCCAAATAACTTCATCTTTGCTATTTTAGCTTTCAAATCCAGAAATCCTGCCATTAGATGGCATGGAACTGGTTGAGGGTGCATGTATCCATCTACATTGCCTTAATTTTACAGCATTTTTTTGTTTCCTTTTATCACCGTTTACCAGACTGACCTAGGAGCTCTGCCAAGCACCGTTACCTCGCTATTTGTTTCTGTGGTGCTCTAGTTCTTGTGTGCTGTGTGTAGGTACTACAGTGCAAAAACTTAAACACTTCAAAGAGAGGTGCCTATAATTCAAGTTCCTGGGACTGTGGTTTTCTATAACTATACATCTTCTGTGGAAATAACAAGATGTATGCATAAAGCTTTTAGTCAGATTTTGCCTGTTGGTGAAGGAGATAGCATTAACTACTGTAGGTAGGTATGAGACGACAGAATATCAGTCCCAGGGTCTCTGGTTTGCCACCAGAAATATTTCTTTCCAGTTAGAGATCTCCCTTCCCCTCTCCAGCACTAGTTGTTGGAGGTTGCTCCGATCTTTTTTTAAGGAACAAAGTAGGTGGTAAAATACAGTAATATTTTCATTCCACCAGTACAACACAGAGCACCAGATTTAACCTGTTCCATGATTCATTTGACTTCAATGAGTTATGCTGGGGTTACATTTAGCACCTTTGTACACTGATTTTTCCTCTTCATCAAGCAGTTTTTCAACCACTGGAAGTCTCTCGGGTATTACCAGCTTTCTGGTAAGCTTGAGATTCTGTCTTTAAGGCTTCCTTAACTGATCTCTTTTCATATTTGGTAATTTCCTCAGCTTTCAACCTTACAGCTGAAATTCCCTGCGATCGTGCCTTCTCAGGTGGGGTTTTCATGATTTACTGAAATGTCCATTAGTCAATGATTTATTTTCCTCAAGCCTACTTTAAGTAAGTCTGATGGCCTTTACCATTTAAGTTGAGGAGGCAACTGATACTCTTGCGGCCTTCCTAAATGGCACTGTGATCCCTTTTTCATTTTGTTCAAGTGTCTGTGGATTTTTTTCTGGCTTTCTTAATATCCACTACATATGGTCCCAAGCCAGTTCAATCTTAATAAGTACAAGTAGTTCTCAAACCCTTGTTCTTTTCTAATGAGAAATGGCTCCTCTTCCAGTTCTTCAGTATTTATTGTGGCTTTTTCAGCATTCTCAGGTTCTTTTAACTAATTTTTCTTTTGCTGCTGCTATTGTTAAATGCCAACATTTACATGTGACTGCAATAAATTGCTGTCTTTTCTTCCACTTCTCCGATCCTGCCAGCTCTTCTTGGGAGGCTGTGGGAATATGGTTCTTGCCTCCCTTCTGCCACCCCAAATCCTTGCAATTGTGAGTTGTCTGCCTCAGATATTAGCAGCGTCTGCCTAACTCGATGGGATATTTAGATTTCATCTCCATTACTTTTTTTGACAAGGCTTACAGTGTGGCACTGATACTCAGAGAAGCATCATTTGGTTGAAGTCCCCATGTTCGTATGACTGACTTGAACGCAACCCGTCCTTCAGCCACCACTTCTGGGTGAGCAGTGGGTGAAGGCCATCTTCTGGCAGAAGGCTCTGCACACAGTGTGAGTCCTGTGCTTGATCTCCCGTTGGATGGGGTCCTGCGTGATGGAGGACTGCTCGAAAGCTGGAGATTTAAATGGAGTCACAAAGACTGGCACACTGAAGTGGATATTTGGTTATGTGAAAAACACGACTTCTGGCTGTTAGAATAATCTTTCTTATGTAAGAACCAAAGCTTGGGCAAGGGAAGAGATACACAGATTGGAAATAAGAGTATCTGACAGACTGTGCCAAGTATGTGATCTTTTTCAAATTCATACCTGCTCTTACTAATAGTAATTCTTCATGTATTATGGGCTTCCTGTTAACTCATCCTCATAAATAGCAATATTCATTTAAAAATGAAGAAGGGTGGTAGTGATTTTTCTCCTCAAAGTTTAATTCTGTTCCCATGAAACAGCATCACAGCTCCATAATTCCATGTCTTGGCAATTCCGATAGCCAATAACATCAGCTACAAAAAACAAATACTCTTAGAATTATCAGTTCTGGCAAATTGAACAGGAACTCAAATGTTCTGCCGGGCCCTTTCATTCACTGCAGCGCTTCTGCAAGACAGACCTTCATTACTTCTGTTGACAAGGCATGAGCCTAAAGCAAACTCAAATTCCTCCATTTTCCAGAGCTTTACTGCTTTGGAATGCTAAAATATAAACCCAGAAGTTAGTGGGATGCTGTTCTCAATTCACCTGGAAAGCCCATTTGACCAAGGAGATGCCATTTCTTCATACTTTCCAAAAAAAGTTCAAGGTAGAATTAAAGGTGGGTCTCCTCAAGACAAACTGTTCATCTGAAAATCCTGCAGAGTGTCCTGCTTTACAAAGGTTTTTCTCAATGCAGCATTGCAATTCATGCCCACTGTGTATCACCACATCCTATGCAGTGAATTGTCGGTCTGTATTGATAATGAAGGCAGACAGAGAAAATCTTTCAATTTCTAGAGAGCCTTCGTGAAAAATGGTTTAAACAGCATGCAAGTTTTACAGCTCTGAAAATGAAGCTGTGATTAGACAAAGATTTGTTGGATTATAAAAGTACAAGTGTTTATTATGGCTGGTATTGAGAATCAACAGTTGCCTGCATATGCCAACTATTATGGAAATATGTTTTTAAGTTCTAATGTGAGCTGTAAACCAAAGCTACTTCAGTTAAAAAAATTCAATACTTAAACTGTGGGGAGAAGTAATCAGTGCCAGAGAAAACATTCCCATTTAGTAATGTTTGAACATAGAGCTGTGATGCAGTTTGTAGCAAGGCAGTGAGAAAAACCCACAACTAATCCTTCATTGCAGCTGTCTGAACTTTTGGTTGTCTGCCATACTTTAAACAGCGACTTCTTTTTTCTGGTGACTCAAGATTTGAATGACCTAGTGTGGAGAGTTTAAGCTATGCACAAAAAAGAAGTTAAGTAAGAAATAGCCAAAGTAACTTGGGTTGCGCACCCCAGCAAATCAGGGTTTTGTATCTTAAGTCCTCTTCAGTGCCTAGGAAAAAATATTAAAACAAATAGATACCTATTTATTTATTTATTTTTGGCAAGGAAATAGTCAGTGGTTTAGACACCCATCTGTCCTCCCTCCCCTTTTCTCTCTCCTTAGAGTACCGATGATATATGGAAACTAAATTCTGTAGAGAGTTCTGATTTTTTTAAAGTTTATAAATGCCTACCTTTTTGGGAGAAAAACTTTCTAAGTTTTCTTTGATTATTTTTAACTTTCTCTTCCCTTTGATGTACTTCATGGGCAGGCCTTTTAAGCAGCATGAAGTAACAAATGTGCTTTTTTCCTGATTAATTCTTTTGCGAATTAATGGAACTTGCTTACTTTTAAGTGGAAATACGGAGGCCAGAGTTGTAACTTTATGTGGCTACTAACTTTAAAGAAAAAAATTGGGGCCTTATAACTTTGCCCCATTCTCCCTATCACTTATTAAACCTTTATGTATTATCCTGAACTGGTGAACCTTGTAGCATGAGGAGTCTTGCAACTATCTAATAATTTCTTCTTGTGACTAATTTTTAAAATGGTCATTCACAGCTACCTATTCTGATCTTTCACATCTACACATAATGTTGTATCTTTGCACTACAAATTTTTGGATATAAAAAAATCCCACATAAACTCTTTTCACTGAAGGTAAAAATATCAATCTATGCCAGCTTCAATGCCCATGGCAACAAATCCCCAACCCAATAGCTTTTGAGGTGCAGTATGCAATAAGGCAACACAATAAAACATATATTGTCACCTAGCTGGCAAATGAAAGGGCAAGCACAGAAATTGCAGGGTTTTCAGACTGAGAACTTACTGAATGCCTAAAATCCACGATGCCAGTGTTCATGTACAAAGGGGAGCAAACACCTCTTGGTTGCAAGGGCTTGAACCCCGAAACACTGCCAGGAGCTTCGATGTTACACCCCACAGTGTCACTTTTTGGCCTACCTGACAGCAAATGTACAAAGGGCTCTGCCCAGGCCCAGCAGCACATCATCTACAAGAAATGGGGGCCCAGTTAATAGGCAGCTGTTCATAAAGGAAAGGGCAATCATATCTCAGAGCATATCTCAACACAGAGCAACAGATCAACCTCTTAATGACTGGATGTCACCATCACAGAATCACTCCTGATATTTCCCCCTTTCCTTCTTTCTTTCCTAATTTCAACCCACAGCTGGAACTTTCAGCTCTTAATTCCTGTAAAAGTAACTCATCCCCTACTGTATTTTGACGTTATCATCTTCAGATTTTGTATTTACTTTACTATATTTATCCTTTGCCATCCCTACTGTCTTTGATTAGCCAAGATACGCACACAAAGGGAGGTCTAAATCAAATGTATCCCTCATGGACTGTGTATCTCCATCTGTTTATTGTTTTTTCCAAACTCCCTGAATCGTTCTGGGAAAGAGAAGACAGTGAGTGCAAACAGGTGCTGCTGCAAAAGGGAGAAGATGGTCTTCTGAAGCCGAACTAGACTGGCAGCATAAGCTAAACACTTTTCAGCTAATTTTTTTTTGTATCAAAGTGTCTTCTACAAGAATTATCCAAGTGACAGACTTATCTTTTCTCCGTAAAAATGTGGGCAAACTGGATGATTTGCACAAGAACACACACAAGTGCTTCCTTTCCCTTTTTTTTGTAACTTGATTTTTATTTAAATACCTCCAAAGCATTATGTTAATGTACATTTCCTTCTTGTTCATGAATAGCAAGTATTTCTAAGTCTCAAATAATATCCCTGTACAATTTCTGTTTGTAATTTTGAGTCTCACTTTCACATGTTCAGTTCCTGAGCCAAATAGTATTGACTTCTTATTCTGAATGATGCTACACAGAACTGTAACACATACTTGTACCTTTCAGTTAAACAGTATTCTAATGGATGTTCCTGTGTTTATTTTTCAGCATATTTCCATGAGATTACAGATGGTATGTTTTAGTTGAGTTAACAGTCTCCATAAAGTTGCTTAGTGCGAAATCCATTGGTTGGTTGTTTTTTTTTAAAATGTTACTGCATAAAAAAATAGTTTACAACATAAATCCTAGGTTATTTCATAGTCTAGAATGCATTAAAAGCATAAAGTCATGCATATGTCAGAGAACACAATATTTACAAGTCTGTACAGTTTCTGTCCTTTATTTACTGTGGCTCTTGCCAGGCAATTAGATTCAACTCTTGCCACTCTTTGAGGTCAAATTCTCCAAGATAACGCATAGCCATCACCTAAAAATGCTTGGTTTTCATACAATCTCCAGCACTGAGATTGATGGCTGCATGTATGACAGGCCCAATTCTGCACTCCATTTCATAAAGTCTACCTTCCATGGAGCTGGAGATGGTTGTCACTGTGACTCAAGGCAGAAGATGAAAACGAGTGAGCTTCACCCGATCACCTTTTCTTATTCCAATATTTTGATGTACTGAACTACTGGCATATTTTGGCTGAGACTGTACAATAGAGTGGCAGATGAATTTATTTCTGACCTGCAGGTTATTCACAGTTGCCAGTCTTTCTCCTGTTCATTCAGAAATGCAAGGAAGAGTATTTCATACTAAGCTCACCAGAACTATATTAAGGGATTCTAGAAAACATCCTCCCCTCTTTTCCTGTTTATTTTCGGAACTGTGGGAAACAGAACATGCTGTTGGAAAAAACGCTGTGTTTTTATACCAACACCCAGTCTAAAAGCCAAATGTTTGCATTTTATCAACTGGATGCAATTCCTCTCTTTCACAGGTTTGCTTTATCTTTACAACCACAGTAAGCAGCATTCAGAATGGATCCCATCTCCTATACCCAATATCCACCCCAGATAACCCTTCAGCTGACGAAAGAGCAGAATGGTGAAAATCAGTCCTTCCACAGAGTTCATATGGCAGAAGTATAGCACATGGCTGCAGTTGCCAGAGGTACTACTGGCTGTGAATCAAAATTCAGTATCTTGGTCAGTTGCTATGGTGTTCAGAAAAGCAGCTGACTTTTTATTTGGGGTTCCCCTGGAAAGTGCTTTGTCACTGTTTGGCTCTGTAATGAGAGGGTACTCATCATAACACCTGGAATCAAAGGTGCTCTGACTCCTCTTCTGCTGATACCCAAGGAAGAATGGCACTTACAGTACTCTCTGAATTCCAGGGAGACATCATGATTTCTATAAAAAAATTAGTGTAAGAATGGCACATCTTCACTAAGGCTAAAGGAACGCCTTCCAGAAAAATAGCACAATGATCCAACACTTGTGGCTTGTTAAATTCACAACGTTGAAGAAAAGCACCTTAGTAATCATTGCAATACTATCCATTAAAGCATGGTAGCAAATAGTTTTTCTTTTTAAGACACATCAGGTATAATTTGTTACGGTGGTTTATCCTGACCAGGGCAGGTTCTAAAAAAGGAACAAACACCAAATGTGTGGTTGTTCCAAAAACAGCCTTCTCCCAACCTTCCCTCCTTCTTTCCCTCTTCCACTGAGAATAGACCAGGAAGGCCTGACCAGCCTTGCCATTACATTATAACCAGGTAACACAGAAATTAATCAATTAATTTATTATTAATAGGAGCAAAATGTAAAAGCGGAACAAACTGTAGATGTACTACCAAGCACGCTGTGTCCTGCTGATATCTCCAAAAGACCCTTGTGATAAAAACGTACAGATTCTTTAGCTTTGAAAGGTCAATTATGCTAAATGGCGATTTCAAAAGGATCAAATATTTTCTGTCTTCTATGTTCTTTTATCATTCTTCTTTTCTTCTCCTTTCTGCACTGCTGGATTTTAGCATCCATGAGTCATGTGATCCTTCGAGCATCAATATATTTTTTAATCTGATTTCTAGCATCTCTGCCAAAAGACCCCTGGTTAGACTTTCTGCATTTCGATGTGCTGGTGATGGTAGTGGTGGTAGCAATGATGTCTGGGTTGACATCTTCCATTCAGTTTATAGACTGAATTTTTCTGCTGCCGTTTTTTGAAGAACCACACAGCCAGTACAGCTGCAACCAGTAACAAGCAGAGAAGAATCACGATCACTGCTATGATAGCACCTTTACTGGACTTGGGACAATCCTCTCCCTCACATGGCTCAGAAGTGGGGACGGGCTTTTCTCCAAGGCCCTGGGTAAGATTTTCTTGCTCAGCTAATTCCTGGGACGACGTGTCAGTGATGATATCTGGAACTGGTGCAGTGGTTGCTACTTGTGCTGGGTAGGCGGTCGTTTCTTTTGGTTCTGCATATGGAGTGTGATCGGAGGGGCTGGCCATGACGGAGGTTTCTGACGTGGATGTTACCAAGCTGGTTATCTCAAACAGCATCGTTGTACTGGGCTCCTGAGTCACAGTTTCCAGAGATGTAGTGAGGTGGTCCCACGTGGCATCATCATAACCTCTGCTCACACTTAAGTTCTCCAGGCTGCTCACTGACGTAAGTGGTACAGGTGTTTCTTTGGCCCCTTCGTCATCTATCCTCGTTGTTGCTGCCACAATCTGTGTTAAACCCTTCTCTGGAGCTGGGCTACCATTGCCTGGTTTTTTTACTTCAACGTGATTTGGTTGGTCAGTCGCGAGGATGATGTCGTCTTCTGTTCCCATCGAACCATCAACTTTATCCCCTTCCTCTTCATCGTCCTCTGCCACTTCTTGTGTTACAGGATAGCCATCTAACCATGACTCATCAGTAATGGCAACTGCACCTATCTCTGCCTTTGTATCATTGGTTGTGAGAATGGGTCCAATGGGGAAATCCTCATTGTCATAAAACATTTTGGCACCAGGTTCGTCATAGGCTGACTTCACTCCAATGTGGTTATCACCTTCAGAAAACTGTGCTTTAGTGGAGTCGTCTGTCTCTTTCTCTGATTCAGGCTCACTGAAAGCCTCTGATGGAAACCAAAACAAGTTTTTTTGGCTTAAGAGTGACACTGGAGACTCAGTTGGTGCCCTACTTCCTTTTTCAGAAGTGTCTGTGTCCTGAGTAATACCTTTGGTACTTCCAGTTCTTCCTTCCTCTGAACTTTTACCGAAGGAGAGCAGTTCCTGCTCCTGCTCAATTTCCTCTTTGCCATTGACGTGTTCATTCTCAACAATGGGTATTGATCTGTCATCAGGAAAGTTATCTTCATAGTCAATGTGTGCCTCGGTTTCATCTAGAAACATTAAAAAAAACCCAGAAAAGAAAACATTTAATTTCTCCAGAAAAACACTGAGTCCATTTGTTACAAGAAGCCAAGAAGACTGCAGTGAGGAGTGACTTTTAGATAGTACTTTTGAATCGGTATTATTGTCTATTTGAAAACAGAATGATCCACTATAAGCTGATAGTCAATACCAAAAAAAAAATCAGGATAGTTGTCTCTACTAACTGCCAGTATCTTATCTTTCCAGATTTAAAACTGTATATGAATAACTTACTGTCTGCAGTTAGAGGACTTCCTTCAATTGCTTATTGTTTTCTCAAACCTTCACTCTCCCTAACATGACTCTTTTTTGCCAGACATAAGGAAAAATTTTCATCATATAAAAGCAAAGAAATGGGTGTGGAGACGAATGCATAGCAAAAGGTAATCAATTACTAATTTGACTTTAAAAAAAAAAGAATTTTTACAGCAAATTTATCCCTTTTGAGAAAGATGATTTTAAAGGATTATATTCAGTACCTTATGTTAATCTTTTTTGTCATCATACTACTATTCTTCAATGACTTTGGTGTTGCAGTGATATGACACTTGAGCAGAATGGCATTTCTCATTCCATGAGAGCTCTTTCGAGCCACCCAGGGAAGACCCCCACACACTAAAGCTGACACTGAGTTCTGCTCATCTTCATCTGAAGAAAGCAAGATGCACCAACAACTGCAAGGGTAGAAAACTCTGTCTCCAACACTTAAAGCCTAACACCTAAGCATCAAGATAATACCATCTGTAATCAAGTCTCGGACTTACACTTTCAAGAAACTAAAAGTTACCAAAAAGAGAAGAGAAAACAAACCAAAACAAAATGAAAACAAACTAGCAAAAAACCTCAAACAACTGAGTGCAACAGAGGGGATGATTCATTACAAAGTTTGAGTTTGATTTAGAAATACGCCCCATGCCTCAACAGACTTCACTCAAAGCATGAAACTAAATGTTTGAATTTGGATGAAATAATGCATCGTGATTTATATTTCTTCCACTCTTCTAAAACTTTAGCTCAATTAAAAATTTTCCAAACTAGACAGGGTGGTTGATTTTCAGCTCACACAAGTTTTACTCCATAGAAAGTTGATGTAATTGTTGAGATTCATACTGGCACTAAAAGTCCCAGAAAATAGTGCCTTGGGGTATGGAAAATAAAACAAACTGAATCATGCTCAGAATTTTTCTTTTTAAGAGAGTGTTTAGTCTTTTGTGAAGACAGTGAAGCAATAGACCCTGCATGACGTGGGAAACAAGAAATTAGTAGGAGAAGCTGTATTACAAATCAATGCATTCATAAAGCCTTATCTTTTTTTTTCTTTTTTTTGCCTTTTTACATTCAACCAACTTTAAATCACATTTTCATCTGGGGCCCACCTCAATTTCCGAATGAGTCACATTCTCCTTGGAGACTGCTTCCCAGACTTCTCGCAGAGCCATATTTGGTCTACTCTTAAGAAAGATTAGAAATATTGTCAAACCAGTCTGACCAAAACCACTTAGTGGTGATAAAGCTCACACCAGCCTACTTTTTGCCAGAACAACTTAAGCCAAGTGCCAAGAACAGAATGAGTATTAGCAAAAGGTATTTTTCTTGGACTAGCATCTAGAAACCAAAACAGCTATGCTGAGGGAACTGAAATGTGCAACATAGTCTGAGAAGAGTTAATACCTTTGTGAAACTTATCATGCTGGAGAACTGGATGTTCTCAGCAGGTCCTCTCAACTCACAGCAAGAGTGTAGGGTGAAATCTGTGCACAATACAACAGTGCCAACCATGGATCTCTGTCCTTCTGGTGTCCTCATCTGTTTGTGTAATCTTCTAGATACCCTCCATCCAGGAAAGATTTCCAAAGACAACTTAGCAGACAGGGGAATCCAGCACTCAGAATGGAAAGCTTCCTGGTGGGACTCTCACTTTTCTAATTCATCCTAAAATATTTTCCAAGAGTATTTCAGACTTTCATTAATGACTAGAGGCTACCTCTCAATACCAAAGCATTTTAGCAACATATTTATGAAGCTCTGTATGGCACTGGCCATCACTATGTAGCACTTAGTCATCAAATGCTAGTCTACCATTGTCAAATCAAATTGTCTTACTTTGTCCCTTGTCTCATTTGCACTTAAGAATTTTTCTACCTGGTGCTCTCTTTGCATGGAGACAGTGCCTTAAGCCCTTTTGTCCTCTTACCATCCAGGCTCCTGCTAAAAGTTGCTATCTACCATGCCTGCTTCACTGAAATCCAGTGTCTTTCAGGAGAGCCCATAGGTGTCTATTGGATATATAAGAACTGGAACACCTTAATGTGAGAACTCACCATTTACCAACTGTGATAGTAATTGCTTTCTTTTTTGAGATCATCACACTAATCTGTTTTCACCTGTATGTGTCCTGTACCTCTGTTTTTGTCACGCATTTACTTTTCAGGCTACAGTAATCCAGCTGAGGATGAAGCATTGATTTTTACATTACGGTGTTCTAGTGCATACACACACATCCATGAACAAAATTTACGTTCATATACTTGTGTTGTTTCCTCCAGACTTATTCTTTAGTTAGCAATATGAATGGACAGGTAGTATTCATCTTATTGACCAGTATGGATCATTGGTGAATGCTTAACAACTGTAGTAATATGATTTCTATAGAATTTGAAGCTTTTCCCCTTTAGTGCCTCTCCTGCCACCTACTTTCAGACCTTTAGAAGAAAGTCTTATGGAGGCACATCAGGAAAAAGCATGTGCTCCTAGGAAAATATGAGTCTATCAGAACATATTAAGGGTTTGTTGAACCATCAATCAAGTCTCCATCAAACCTGCTGTCTTTGGGCCTGATCCTGCATGTAGAGAAATGAATTGGTGCTTTCTTAGTGCTCAGCTGAGGAAACAAAAAGCCCATTGTAGTCTAAGGAAGGCCTGAGATTGGAGCTCATTATGCACTGCTTGTCACCACATAAGGGAGTCTTGTTCCTTCTGACAATCAGATTGTGGCCCAAGTTGTAAAGCTGCTATAATGTATTTTCATATGCAATCTCCCGTATTTTTATAGTTTATAGCAAAGACTATCAACATAACTAATGTTAGCTTATGGGATGCCAGAATGAAAGCAACTATTGAGGACTCTAACCATCAAAGGAAATACAGACCCCCTCACTCTGAAGCTTTGATTTATATGATCCTGAATTGACTTACACAGTAATAATACTCTATTCTTTCTTCTGGGCCTCAAACCTTCAAATGGGGCTTGGACTTAGTATTGAGTGAGTTTGTGTTACCATGACAATCTTTCAAGTCAGCCCTGAGCTTGATTTTCCAGGAACAGATTGCAGAACTTTTGCACTTCTTTTTGCTCACCTCCTCAGTACTTGCTTGAGTTTTCCAGCTCCCTGGATTTTAGTCTCCGTATTGAAGAGCAACAACCAAAGTAGATTCAGCTCCACCTCTTATCCAAATACTTGTAACCTTTATTTATACACAATTTTAAAACAGCTAGCAACCGATTTAAAAGTGGCTGCTTCTTCCTTCCTATACAGGCAAGTCTGGTTTTAAGAAGAGCCAGCACTGAAATTAATTAGTCCAAGACCAAAATCTTTCTATATTTGGTCACAGTTACAACGTACCTCTACCCTCCTCTGGCAGACTCAAGGATCAGTGAGTTTTGATTCACTGTCTGAGGGATTACCAAGGCTGAAATGAACATTTTTCAGCAACAGATGCTGAAATGGCATACTACCAAAGACGTGAAGCTCAATTAAAAGGTAAAATCCTTTTAATTTAGCCTTGTCCTTTCTGGGAACCATCCAGTCCTCAAGAGCTTTCATGTCTTTCGACTTTTGATCCTAATGTGAAAACAGTGACCAAACATGGAGACAGGGAAAAACAAAGAGCCTGGTTTTCCACACTCTGGGATCAGTTTAATTTTTCTTCTAGATAGCATATTGGCATCCGAGCTCTATTTTGAGTGTTGCTATTTTGGACAACCATAAAGTGCACTGCATATTTTGTGGATGTATTTTTGGAGTACAGGAAATTGAAACTTGATTCTATGTCGACCATCATCATAAACATTTCTACTGTATAAAAACACCTTTATCCTAAGGTTCTCAAAGTAGTTACAGCAAATATTAACAAGCCAGCATCTGTCTTTAAGGATGGGAAGGAAAAGAGCATGTAGACCAATTGCTTAAGATCAGATTTGTCAATTACAGCATCTTGAAGAATTACCCTTTTGACTTGGATCAGCCACATGAACACACTTCTCTTGAATCAACCAGAGTATGCTAGACAGCTACAAGAAGGCGGATTATTTTTATTCTAGCAGGAAGCCTGATAATATAAATAAATAACCCATCATAATTTTTAAACAAATTTGATTTGGCAGAATCAGTTCATGCCAGATCGATGCTTTACATTAATGTAATACAACTGTTCAGTGGCAGACCTGAAAAGAGAACCAAAGTTTGTCATAACAGTTGTTTCGACAGGCCATGGACGTATTTTGTTGCTGATTTCATTTGTCTGCCATAGCTCTCCCTTTGCACTCTCAGAAGAAAAAAAAAAGAAAAAAAAAAGCATTCCCAAATAAGATCAAAAGCCACAGACATTTTGTTTTACTCTCCCCATTAAAAAATAAAAAATGAGAAATAATTAAATGCAGCAGCATGGCTAGCCATGCTTACAGACCACATGAATGTGAATCAGTACTATTCCTGAAAACTCAGAATGCAATGTTTGAAGTAATGAGAATAGTTGAACCAGGCTAAAAGACTGGGAGCTGCAGATGAAGCTTTCAGAGGTGGTCAAAGTCAAATCCTCCTTAAACTGAAATCAGAGGCACGGTCCTCAGTGTGGAAAAGTAAAAGCAGCTCTGAACACACTAGACACATGTCCAAGTGTTGACCCTGGAGAGATCCCTTAGATGTGAAGAAGATACGACCTCTTCTGCCACAGGCTTATACTTGGAAAAACACAAAGCAGCAGAGGGAAAAGGATAAATATATTATCTTCTCCTTAGCCAGTTTTAGGGCAGAGCTGTGACATGATTTCCTAGCCATCTAATCTGCCTTCTCTTTGAGGAAGCAAATTCTTGAGGATGCAGCCTAATGCAATGCAGCCCTGACACTCCCTCACTGAAATGTTAATATTAATGATTCTGATATTGAACCTATGGTTCATTTCGGGGAAAAAGCAAGTGTCATTAAGCAACGGTCACTTTATTCTCTGTGGCTGGAGGACAGCCACAGCATGGCATGTATGCACCTGCTTTCAGACCTTACTACAATGCCAGTTTTCAGGATATATTTTGTGAAACAAATGTGTTCTCTCCACAGAAACAGAAAAAATAAACTAAAAAAAAATTATGTCCTTGTTCTCTGCTTCAAGTTGCCTTGTTGAGTTGAATATCTATGTTTTCAGGTAGAACACAACATCTTTTCATGATGAAAAATTGCAGAAAACACTAACTATACAGCACCACTTTTTTTGCTTAAAAAGCATCTTGATTAAAAATTACAGACCACTACCTGGTGTGCGCAATGTACCTTAAAGCCATTTGTAATGTACTGTTTTCTTAATTTCCAACATACTTTAGTGCATCCAAAATTCCCTTAATATAACCTCAAAACTATTTTGTTCAGTTATGCCCATACCCAGGTTTTGCCACGTATTTTGGATTGTACGTGTACTGATGCATAAAGTATTCTTTTTATTTAATTTACAATTTTGCCAACTGTACAGTCGTATTCCTACATCCTGGGAACCAGAATGGAGTGTATCTCTTCTAACTGGATCAAAACAGAGAGGAAAGATGATCATAGAGCTACTTCAAAGAACATTTAAGTGTTATATTTAGGCTCTGCTACAATTATAGTTCTTAAACTCTGTATTTGCAGGCTCAATGCTTTTACACAAACAAGAGAAAAACCTAATTACTGCTGTTTAGTCTGATATTCTGCTTTATGAAGCTGGATAAACATTATCACTCTTTCACAGATGAGGTGCAGTAAGCAGCACAGAGTAGTAAAGTGACTTGTCCCTGGTCTCAGAGACAGTGCAAGACGTCGGAACAGGCTTTACATCTTTTAATTCTCTGACTGGAGTTTTTCCCCATGGTCCAGTTCTGCTGGTGCAAGAACATTGGGACCACTTTGCATTTGCAGTTGCTCACTCAGCACGGACGCAGAAGAAGGGAACCGTATAATCCTAACAGCCTCTAAACTTAAATGTTCATTGAAGTGGCTTCATGATCACCTTTTCCCTGGTATCAGCCAGTTAGGACAGAAATGGTTCACTCTGCCAAGAGGGATATAAATTCTCCATTAAGACCCATCATTAACTTTCATGATACGGAAGTTAATCTCTTGCCCCAAAGTACTCAAAAAGCAGTGTGTGTGCTCACTTCTGGAGTACTTACTTGATAATTATTCTCTCCCCTGTGACCTCAAAATATCTGTCAACTGTAAATCAGGTTTCTTTTAATTAAATCTTTTTGGTCTTTTTCACTGAATTATTACTTTTTAAAAAATAATGAACCCTAGTATCATACATTTCAATCTTCCTTTAAAGACTCATTTTTTAAAGAATTGTGATCAGAAGGATTGAATATATAATTATTAATTCAACACATATTGCATTTTCTATCCCAGGTCCTTAAAAGTGTTTGAAAAACATTAATCAAAGGAAGCCTCTCAGCATGAAGTCCACATTTAAAAAATCATAATCCACAATATTACATTGGCTCCCAAGTTCCAGTGTTGATATTTGTTATTTTACAGCCACACTTTCCTATTTTTTAAAAAAATATTTTTCTCTCCCCTGTGGCAGTGTGAAAGGCTCAGGCAAAACAGGGGTAACAGTCTATTCATCCAGGGAAAACAGTGAAACACACACAACCTAAATGGCCTGATTCTTCTTCTGCCTTACTTTGGTGTAATAGAGATTTATTTCTCTGTGTGATAAAGTCAGGATTTTCGATAACCTCAGCAAAGGAAAACAAAGTATCAATTTGGTGCAGATTACAGGAGATTCAAACCCATTGGGTTATCAGATATAGATACTATTTTCCTTCTCTCTCTCCATGCTCTTTCTCCATTGCCTGCTGTATTTCACTTAAATCATATGAACTGCTGTTGGTAAGAACAGTTCTGGAAGTTGAAATAGTTCAGAGAGATGTTGGCATTTTATTTTATTTTTTTAATCTCTATACCATTTGGGTCATTTTGAATATCTGGTTCCCTGGTGCACAGACATGACCCGTTTCTACTGAGAACAAGTTTGACCTTTTCTCATGATTATCCACTGCCTGGTGGTACATATTCATGAGTAAAAATAACTCCTTGCTAGCCCCTAGGCAGTAAGGAATATATAGGTTCTGAAATAGATATGCTAACTCCAGACCATATAGATAGCTCAGCTACCCAACAGCTGCCCATTCCTTTGCTTAAAATGTATCCATTTTGTCAGAAATATAATCTTAAAGGTGTGATATCTCTGTGAAAAAATGGGCAGATACTCTGATGACTATTCTTAAATACTGGAAAAATTGTGTCCATTATGCACTGAGCAGGGTTACATGAGAAAAAGAATGAGAAAGCAGAATTCGGATTGCATCCACATATGAGCTCATCATACTATTTAGCTTATGTTTAAACAAGGAGAAAGTTAAAAGTTGCTGCAGGATTATACTAACACATAGAGGTGGATTTTCTTGAGGGTTTAAATTAAGGCAATGTCATTATTATAATTTTCCATAGCTTTTACTTTTTTTTTTTTCTTTAAATAAAAGCCTGATTCCTCGGGTCAAGCTATTTGGTAAGAAATTCCACTTTCATTCCTTTTAATGGAGTAAATACCTGAGAAGCTACTGTTGTGGCTGCAGATAAAAATCATGAAAGCATGGTACAAAATAAAGATCGTGTTGCTTTTTATTAGGGCAAATTAAAAAAAATACACTTTTTTAACTTTTCCACCTCACTGCTTAGTTCTAACCCAAATTGTACTTCTGCCACTGTTACAGACTTCTTCTGTGGCATGGGAAGCTCTCTTAAATTACAGAGGTCTTTAATTTTCCTAATCTAGTCAAAGGAAACAGCATTTATCATATAGCCAGAAGTTCAAAAGTGCTAAAGCAGCTAGCAGGAAAGGGCTAGTAAAAGCTCAGATCAGCCAGACTAGCTTTTTACTAGCCAGTGAACAAAGTGAGGAGCTTAAAATATGGACAGCTATTGTGTTATCCATTTTGCATCCTAAATAAAAATCCGAGAACTCCTAAAGGATGCTCAGCTCAATTCAACCTAGAAAATATAAAGAAGCAGGGAGAGATGCATATGTGTCTGATGTGCCCTTGGGAGGTATTGACCCCTGTCTCCATGAGGACCACATCATGGCATTTGGTCTTTTCTGTAAGGAGGATGCTATCTCACGGACCTCAGTGTGTAGCATCACATGAAGATGTAAGGCTAGTGGCCAGGTGATAAAGCCACGGACGGCCACAGCATGTATATGGTAAGGAAAGGTGTTATTTGCGTGCACGCCGTGCTTAGTGCACGCCGTGCTTAGTGCACACCTACAGAAAGACACTGGCTTTTCTCCGTACTTGCTCTAGCTTCCCAAAGGCGAGAACGAACACTGGGTTTTCATTTCAGTAGCCTGCTCTGTAGCAATTCTGTGGCTTCATGTGAAAATAAACATAGCAGAAGACATACAAAACCTGCGTTGTACACTCTATCTGGTAAACAATGTCTTTGGCTCACTGCTGCTGCCTGGGCATGGCTTTTGAACTGCTCTGGAAAAAATTCCTACAAAATTTATTGTAATGTCTGTAGTAATCCCTTTCCTTGAGTAAACAAAGTAAGTACATTGAAAAGTCACAAGCCTCATCCAGTAACAGAATGAGCACATACAAGACTATAAACCGGTGATTTCCAGAAAGGGGCTGATTCTGATATTAAATATGCAGATGAAGGATCTTCCCAAAGGTTATTTTCCAGTAATTAAGAATTATGTTCAGTACTAAATAAAAATGGGAAAAAGAAGGAAGATAGTGGACTGGAAGGCAGGAGGTGAATGATAATACTGGGATAAAACTCAGTGAATCCCTGAAATGGGGTTAGTGAATACATAAAAAATAAATATGGCATTAAAAATTCAAAATTTTTATGTTCAATGGCTACCCAGAAAGAAACTTGATACTAATGTAAGTATGAATAAATTATCCTCTCCTGTGGTTTACTGGAGATGCCTATCAATGGGACTGTAAAAGCCCTGTTGGGCCAGCTAAGACATTGATGCTCTAGTCACCAAGACCTTCACCGGGACCACACATGCCCAGGAGACATCCCTGTAAGCCTGAAACCATCTCAGTTGGGCTGATGGGAGGCTGTGACCTCCTGGAGGGATGCTCTATGTGCTTACCTTTGACACAGGCCTGAACCTGCCCGTACCATTCCCCGCAGCTGTCACAAAGCAGCGTGAATGCCGTCTCCTTGTTGCCCATGACATACCCCTGGGCGCACACGTACAGCAGCTCATCCCCCATCTCAAAGCCAGTGTGGCCATGCAGGATGGTGTGGGGGAAGGATGGCGGGTCCCCACAGGGCTTGTCTGAAAAGGAAAAGGAAATGAGGTTGTAGAGACCTTGCAATAGGCTTTAAATGTGGTGCTAACAGCTGTGCTAAATGTTACACTGAGGACAAACTTACACACATCCCCAGAACGCATACATTTTGTCTGATTCATGCCCTTATCCTCCTTCATAAGTAATAATTTTCAGCTGTAATTGGGAAGGTATATATTGGGCTATAACTGTAGTGTTATGACGCGTAACAGTGATGTGTCTAGAGAGGCTTTGTTTCCAACAGGTCGGTCCAGGATGTCAAGCCGCAGCTGTCTTCTCTGCCTCCTTCTACAAAGGCTAACAAAGGCTTGGGTAGCTTAGGACCGGAAAGCAAAAGCTTAGACACAGTCATTTTCCTTAATAGCAGAAAAGTTTGTGAAATTGTTTGGCACTTAATTGTCTACTACACTGTAGCAAGCGGTCAGAGACTGAGCAATGACCCAGTCCACAGTCATGGAAAGGAAAGGCCCAGATGGACACCAGCCTTCTTCAGATTATATCTAGGCTTGTAGTCTTTCACAAAACCAAAAGTTTCTTCCCAGTTACTCAGAGTTCCTCCATTTTAGGTTAGAGACATCCTAAAATGAATGACAACTCATGCTTTTCAATTTAATAAAAACCAAGAGTAACATAGATCTGCTCTATGGGAATCTGAAGAGCTAAATTTATTGGGATATAAAGTCTACCAGGGTGTTGTTTGACAACATTTCTGCTGACAGTGCTAAGAACCAGGAAGAAAATAACACTGCAAACAACAAGGAAAAACCACTTTCATTGAGTTTTTGGTTGCATGACAGAAGTGCAGTGAGGAGGTAGGCAGCTCTCAACATTGGTGTAAACTGAATTTGAACTGTTGGCTGTTGTTAACAAGATGGGTCAAGATCTTCTACAGAACTTCTAGGCATTGTGTTTTCTCTCAAAGGTCTTCCTCTCTCAGAAGTGCTCTTGAAGAGGAGGGGTTTGCCATGTCCCCATTTTCTCCAGATTTTTTCCAGTCCCTTTTTGGAATAGACAACTTTTCGTTATGGAAAAACAAAACAAAACAAAACAAAACAAAACAAAACAATACAAAACAATACAAAACATAATGCAAGAACATGATCTTAACAAGAAACCTAGTGGACAAAATGTGCAGTGTTAAAATAAATACTTCTGTATACTTTTTCAAATCTAGAATTTTTTTCCAGTGGTTCTAGAGCCCTTATTGACTGTGGAAGAAAAAGCAACTGTTCCATTTGCCAGAATAGCTGAAAATTGAAAGCCTGCTTTTGTCCTGATATAGAACAACCAAAAATGAAAAGGTTAATAGGTAACAGCTCAGGAGTTCTGGTAATTATATGGGATAAGAGAAACTTAGGGTCAGGTCTATGTTCTAGCATTGATCTCTCTGGTTGAAACAGCTTGCTTTGGTAAAAAACCCCTCATTACTTAGTTGGCTAAGCACAGATTATGTTCCTTGGAAAGACTTCTGTTTGGAAGCTAAAAAAGTGACCTCCAGGACTATGCTCCTAAGCATGTAGAAGGATAAACGTCTTCAGAGAGCACCTTGCTATTTTGCTGGAGCTTACTTTTAGGACAGCATCAGCCCTGGACCTTGCAAACAACATTTCCATTGACACCAATTCACATCCAGGGTTTGCCATTGGGCAATAGTTTTGACAGAAAAGCTTTTTTCTATCTATCTTTTGCAAAAGCTCAGGCTTTCCTGCTTTAGCCCCAGGGACATCCTGCAAGATCTCTGTGAGTCCCAGCTGCAGCTTTTCCCATCGTCTACCCACTCCTGACCCAAGCATAGGTAAATACATGTTTATTTAGAAATATGATGTATTTAAGTTGTTTACCTTGAAGTGAAATGAACAACCTGCGATAAACATTCATGCTCTGTGAAAGTTCTGTTGGATCAAGATTTTAGAAATTGTCTGATAGACCTGGCTAACCACTTCTCAGTTGGGTAAGCTGAAAAACATCTGCTACTAATTTAAGGGACACACTACTGAAGTCAAGGCTTTGAAGTCTATTCTCCCTACTGTACACATACATATATACTGTCTAACACCTTCAGAAGTTACTGGGAGTTATGCACACACATACTGACAGAAAAAACAAGCTCTTGAGGCTACACAAAGCTCAGTTTATGTAGTCTTATGGAGGCTTGGCATCTGAGGAAGTGAGGAGCAGGTAGCAGCTAATGCCTTTCCTGTGAACTGGTTGGATGAATAGATTGATGTGGATGAAAGGAATTTAAAAAAAAATTATTGCCTCATAGGAAGGCTACAGACCTCTGCATTTAATGTACTTTATTTATGTAGCTACTTCCATCAGTACAAACAGGAGCTGTGTATCTGCTCTGAGGGAAGTATTGACCCCAAGGCTGTATGGGACAACTATATGTCAGAGGGTATTCTTATCTACAAAGCCTTGCTTCTTAATGCTGTGACCAGAGGAAGTAGAAAAGTAACACTTATATTAGTTAAATACATTTACCTTGTTGCAAACACATTCAAAAAGCAGATTATAACCTTCCAGGAAAGAAGGAAGCTGAAGGGAGCTTTACAGTAAAATTGGGCAACATGTGGTAACAGACACTAATGAGATCTTGAAAGAGAGATCTGGCAGATGTGTGGATAGGAAGAAAAGGAGAGATTTAAAATATGTACATGGGTGAACACTTTACATTGAAATTTTGAATCTCTCATATGAGGCTTTGTAATGTTGCATCTTTGCTGCAGAGCATATTGAGTGACAGCATAGACAAGACCAAGTGAAAGCTGATACCCTGCAAAGATGTACTTGGGTTCCTACATCCCTTTTGCTGATGTCCTCTCCCGTGCAAGACGTACAGGAATTTTCAGGGTTGCAGCATTTTACAGCTGCAGTCTCAGTTGCTATGACAATTTCTGCTCAGCCTTTTGTCAAACCTGTTCTTTCTGGTACATGTACAGAAGTGGCACTGGCACAGCAGCTCATCACACTGAACCACTTCTGGGGACACCCTTTGGGTTTTTGTCTGCGGCCTTTGTACCGGGAGGTGGCAAAGCATGGGCTTGTTTGGAACAACAGCCTGTGCTCAGTGCTGGCACTCATGCCATTTTCTTGCTGGAAGAGAGGAGGCAGATCTGGGCCATGAAGCGTGACAGAGGACATGTTGGCAGCAGCCCGTCATTTGAAGGAACAGCAGTGCTCTTTGTTAAGGCCTCTGCGGAGGTTGCCTGGAGTGGTGACGCTGGTAGATAAGCACCAGGCTTCTCCAGTGCTGAGCTCTCCATCTGGAGCACTGCTTTTCCCCCCATCTATCCTCTTATTTTATAAGGCATATTTTATTGGGGGCTTGCTAAAAGATAAGCCCAATGCACACTTTCCAGTTGAAGAGCCTGAGGCACTTGATTATTGTGCCCAGTGGATCTCATGCTCTGCCTGCAAGATCACATCCTCAAACCTGGAAACTTGGAGTCTGGTACTGGACTTCGTGACCCTTCCTGAGTTTGCCACAGTCGATAAAGAACTCAATATACATGGGCATAAAATACAATACAGTCAATATCTGACAACTGAATGGGAAGAAGTGGTACAGCATAGATATGTTAGGGGTAATGATGACTCTGGTTGCAGATCTTTTAGAGACTCAATAACTATTTTTCACAAAGGACTGAAGATGCCTTCTGTTTTAATTGAATTGGCACATTCAGTCGTGATTGACTGTTAGGAATTATGGCCCCTCTGAAGAGTAACTTTAACTCCAAACCATGTGTGGAAAGGAGTCTATGACAGCTGATTTCTGGCAAAGAGTCGACACAAGTCCCTTCAGTAACATCACACTTCTCCTCCCCAGTCCAGATCCCTCTAGAAGTATGTTCTTGATTTAAACTACAAAATCTTATCAGTTTGTAAGGATTTTTTTGAGATGTCTTGATAAAATACCATCTACAGAAAGGACAGCTTAAGATCAATGCGAAAAAAAGAATCAACATTAAAAAGATGCAGATTTCAGCTTCCACACCACCTGGCAGAACTGGGAATCTACTGAAATTTTATTATCTACAATTGCTACTTCAACTGTGTACCATGCTCTGAAAGCTGACATGAAACATCCTCTTTGACATAAAACACCCCCTGTTACAACTTTCCAATTCACTGGAGTTTTTCCAGAGAGACCACTAGAATTTATAGGATGTCATCTAGTCATTAAGAAATTGGAAAACATAACTCAACGCTCAGCGCTGTGAAAGATGAGTATGGATGTTTGTTTTTCTTCTTGATTGTAGAAGCACTAAAGTACATGGAATTTTTCTTTTTGGATGAAAATACTGAGTAAAAATGGAGTATAAAGAACCAAAATTCAATCATAGCCAATATTTAGTGCTGCTTGTAAGCTATTGAAGTTAGGATGCCAATACCTCTTTCATCAGATAGGGCTTGTAAGAATTTATTATTTTAAATTACTTCACCAGGAAGCTGGTGTCAGCTCTGTGCAAAGCTCTGGAAAAGAAAGCTGTAGCAGCGAAAAGATGAAAATATTCACATCCACAGCAAAACGTGACAAATACAAATAAATAGTTCAAATACTATTGTACAGTAAGCAAATTGCAGTTTGATTGCTCTTGTAAAGTACATTTAATATATTTGTTGTAAAGAATACACTGATTTTTTTTTTCTTCTGCTGAAAAAGGCAAACTGAATTCGTACATAAGCCATCAAGTTTTGATGGGTATCTGGAGCCAGCAGTCATGTTTAAGAAAGTTTTAGTTGCATTTATGCTGTGCGCTACTACAAGTTGCTGCCTGTTTAATTTTTCCATGGTGGCAGCAAATCAAAGCCTTATGGAATAGAGATCTTACTTGTTGCCTGTAAATATCAGTGGGTCACTGAAAGAAAGAAAGAAACAGTAAAATTTAGGAGCTACTAACAAAGAGATCTTTCCTTTGTTGCATTTAAAAAAATAGAAAGGGAACCAAGATTATTATATATGTATGAAACTGAATTGTATGCGGTCCTACAAAAAAATAGAGAGTGGTAGGGAAAAAATCCAGCTTTCTGTTTTTCTTCCTTTATCTCTTTTATACTTTGAGGCATTTTCTTATGAGCTTTGACAGAGAACAAATACACACTCTGTGGGCCAGATCTGACTTACGTGTGATACTCTCCTTTTCAGAATAGGTAGAATCTAATATATTTTTAGTTAATTTTTGGCACTCGAGGATGAGAGAGAAACTTTCTGATCTCAGCAGATCCTGAGCTAGTACCGAGTTGTCTTTCTGACTCTAATGGCTGTATAAAAATTTGTTTCTCAGCAACGGAGAAGACACATTTCTCTTTGCTGCAAAAACTGCAGCAACACTCACAGCATTCATAAAACATTACAGCTACATCTTTCCCTGTCAAACATAACTCTTAGTACAAATTCCCTGTAAAACATAACTCTTAGTATCAAAGGCTGCTGCGATTCTTCTGTGTGTACAGAAAAAAATCCTTTTCAGAAACACACACAAAAAAGGTATCTCTCTCTTCAGGATTTTTATTTGTAAAAGCCTTATCCTGTAAGCACACCCTTGGTAGCATCTGACCACTGCCCTGGCTGTTGAGGCATGCTGAGGTGTAGGTTTAAGCAATTCAACTGATATCTTTTGCATGCTGGATGTTAATTAAGGAAAGATTAATTGTAAATCAAGGCCTAAGAAGGGAATTTTGTGATGGTTTGTACCAGAAGTTTCATGGTGCTTTGAGATTCCCCTTTGTACAAACCTAAGAACTGAAAATAGAGTTGTGAAGAGTTACTATCATCAACTCAGTTTCTACAGAAGAGAAGGCTGATGTGGCTGTTCCCCCTGTCGATCCTCACCCTGTCAGCCTGGCTAAGCCTTTCACTGATTTCAGCCAAGTCTGATGAAGATGGAGAGCTGCTAAGCACCCGCTCATTTTGGTAAAATGAGTTTAAAAGAGGAAAGACCCAAAGCCAGAAGTCTTTTCCATTGGGATGGGCATAGTTAGGACTCAGCTCTCGCCCATTCCCACAAGCGGTGCTGCATAAGGGTATTGCATTTGGGTGGACAAATTAGCATATTTGTACCCCTAAGGCAACCACAGCAAATGCTGCCTCCTGTCCAGTCAGCCATGCTGGGACCTGGCAAGGAGCTGAGAGTGCCCTGCAGGTGGGGAGATGGTGAATAGAGGAAAAGGTTAAGAAATACTGGAGAAAGAACCAGATTAATTTCATGTGAGAATGCTGATTATTGGTTGGATGGACACGGAAGAAATGAGAGGGCTTGCAGTTACTGTGTATGGGAGCATAGGTCTCAGGGCCAGAAACCTGGGATTTATCACTTTTGGCAGGGCAAAACAACTTGCTTTTTGTACTTGATTTCAATATGCAGGTCTCAATTACTGTATTATAATTGAAATTGTGTCAGTTAAAAGCAATGACCACTTTTCTGAAAGAAGAAAAGTACTCGTGAGGTTTCAAGTAAGAAACAATTCATTAATTGTAACTCAGATGTGCAGTTATTAGCCACAGGAACAAACCAGCAGAACAGATATGCTATGACTGAGGCTGCAGTGCAGGGTTTGCTGTTGCTGCTTCTTATTGGATATTTACTTCGCAAATCTGAAAGTGGCATCCCTGAGATGTAGGATGTTCTTTCATCAGTCAACTGCTTTGTGCTGGCTTGTGTGTTACCGTGTGTTACAGCTGCATGTTAAGGCCATTTTCTTTCTGGACTTTGCTGTTTTCATACCAAATACAGACTAGGCTCTGCCACACAACTTTGCTTAAGCCTTTCTATTCAAACATCAACTCTGCATCCAAAATTTTATATGTAAACAAAGAAGAGTGGACCTTACTGCTACCTAGAAATATTTCTGTGTTTACGTATTATTTGGTGAGTGCATTGGCATGATCTTCCCATTCTGTCATCAGGGAACTCTCTGCCTTTTACTAATCAAGTTGTTCATAAATTGTGTCTTCATTGCAAACAATGTGACTTTTCCCCCGAGTTTTAACTATGCGGGTTCTGAGTCCTGTGTAGCACTCCTTTCCAACGAGCACTACCAGACTATGTTCTTATCTTCACCTTTACCATGAGCGGTAGCCAAATGCCAAATTCCTTCCCTGAGATCCAGCACCTACGTGTAAGCTCAGATGCAGCAGGTGGAGACGGACAGGGGAGCACAATGGGACCATCGTGGCCAGAGCCATGATTTCAGCCTGCCACAGCTGCCCCAAGGTTTTTCACAAGGGTGGGGGAGGGTGATGACAAAAGAGAGATTTGAAGGAAGACAATGAGAGAGTTTTGCAGATGTTTACAGGGAGCTGCTCCTATATGTGAGGGACAGCATGGAAGAAAGCACAAATGTGCTTGTGAGACAGCATCAGCAACTGGGTGACGGAGCTGGCATCACCCATAGCAGCACGGAGCCTGGAGTTGATATCACAAGGGTTATTTGGGAGGACGGTCGATCAAACTCTGCAATTTTTTAATGACTGTGTGCACATCGAATATGCATCATCTCTGCCACATTTCACTTCAAGCATATTTTCATTCCCACTGCTGCCACTCACTGTTTATCAAAATGACACCCTTGTGAACTTAGTGTTTCTCAGTAAATGCCATCTGCTAGCCCCTGCTTTTCTTGGAAATGAGATGCAAAACTTCACTGTGAACATCAACAATCTGTTACAGGGGTTCCCAAACTTCTTTATACAATCCTGCCTATCAGTAATAATTTACTTTTTTCCTTAAGACTCCATCTTTGCTTGTGGGTTCCAGCATTTGAGTATCAATTCAAATTGGAAATGGTTTTCAGAATCATCCGTGATATATCAGAGTTCCTAGCAGGCTGGTCTATACTCTTAACAAAAGAAACAAAACAAACCAAAAATGAAATGGAGGTAATGAGGTTATTTGCTTACAAATGTTGTATACTGATAGATATGCAACAGCGTGGCATTTTGCACTAGGAAGCCAGCTTTCTGAGTTACATTCGGTTGCAGTGCTTCAGGCATCTCAGTTATACTGGTGCCAGATATATTCTTTTCCATAAAGTATCTTTTGTGAACACCAAAGTGGGTTCTTCCAGATCAGCAGTGCTATTTGAACTTGCTAAACTGCAGCAAAGACAAAAGATAATGCAATTTATTTCCTGCAACCAATGTCTGTAGCAGTTGGCTCACTTAGTGGGCGATTATTATAAAGATTTATTCCTTAACATTCCCTCTTTGCCTCTCAGCAGTAGAAAAAATGAAGGTAAAACTTTTAATGTTGCAAGATAGTGATGACTGTGCATTATTAGTATATCAGTGCTGACCTTCATCCTTTACACAAAAAGCATCATATTGGTCATTCACAAAGGGATGGGTTTCAATTTTAACATCAATGGCTTTCACGCTTTGCTGTTTGCTGCCCGTCTTTCTGCATATAATTGTCCTAAAATAAAGAAGAAGAAGAAAAAATAATCAGAAATCTTCTGAAGTTGTTCATGCAGGTGAAATTTAGAGATCTTTTATCACAGCAGTCAGGCTTTAGCTTCAGCTTAACTATTTAAGAGTTGGCACATAAGGCATTAGTGTGGGAAGATCTACGAAAAAAACCAAGCGAGAATTAGAGGAAATTAAAAAATGCTTGTGCTGTCGATCAGTTCAAGGCATAGGAAGCAATAAAGAATATTTATCTTATTATATTCTGTAATATTTCTGAACATCAAACCAAGTCCCAGAGTATTTAAGTCCACATTCTGCTCTCACATTCCAGCAATACAGATTCCCACCAATGGCACCTGGGTAAAAATGAATAGAAAATGCAAGATTTGGTCTGGAAGATTATAAATCATTAGCATTTTACATTAAAAGGTCACTAAGGTTGCATATTTACCTGCTCAAAAGCTAACATAGGCAAGCTTAGAAAATAAATCTTTTTTTTTACCAGATATTCCACACTTTTGTATAAATTCCATTTCTTCTGTTTTGATACTTGGCAGTACCTCATCCTTCCTGTTGCCCTTCATGGGCTTGAACAAAGGTAATAAATTTGTATTTGGTTTATACAACCCTGTAGATACTGAACATGAAGGAAGAGATTACTAATTATCTCTTCTCTCAGCTGTACTAGCTGCTTAAAACTAACAAATAGAAGAGAGTTTGTTGTAGAAAACACTGTGTTTACTGTTACACTGAAGGTTACAATGGCTGGAAAAGCAAATTCAGCCCAAATTTTTGCAGCTGGATATTAATGGTGTGGGTTTTATTTCTTGTGGACAGCAGATTTGTAGAAACATTGTTCGGTCAGCTATTCTAGTGAAAGCAAGACAAAAATGCTTTCTACAGAGGAATCCTTCCAGTGGAGAAAAATTATCATTTTGTATTGTGCAATGGTTGAACTAATTTTGCCGTCTGTCTCACACTCAATTTGGGGAATAAAATAAATGTTGACTAACTGCCCATTCACTAAGTGTGGAAAAAGTCCAGTGGAAACCCAGTATTTGATCACACACTTAAATACTATGTAACAATTGATTTACACAAGTGGACTGAATTACGATTGTACAGACCATCTTCATTCTGGCATGTGTTAGCTTTCGAGCAGTTAAATATGCAACTTTAATGTTCTTTTAATGTAAACAACATGAAACAAACCATATGGTGGTGGTCACGCACATGTACCAGAATGGTTCCTACCACACTTCTGCTGGGGAAAACGACATGATGTGATCCGCTGCTGAAAGCCCCTTTACGATTTCAAATCAAATATATCTATTTTGTAAGGAAAATGCCCCTTGATTTTTTTGGAAGGTCACTTGAAGGACAATATTGTCCATAAATGATTAAAATCAAGTTCTCTTAGAATTTAATGCATTTAAAGTCCGAGTCCTCTAAGTCGATAATTAGGTACCTAGACAAAAATTATTTGATCTGCCAAAGTGAACACAGACAACTGGGCGAATCAGGCCATCAAATAGAGAATTTTTGTACGTATTTAAATATTGTTCCACTAGGTCTTAGAAGGCCCAGGGGAATTAAAGTTATGCCTCCCTTCAAAGAGTGACTTACTAACGTTAATCTTTCCAATAATTACTCACTGACTTAGGTACCCAGATCAGTTATGCCTTGCAACACTGAGTAGACAGATGCCTTTAAAAATTTGTAGTTCTGGTCTCTGAAAAATCAGGCCACATTCCTTTCTATGCTCAATGAAGGAATAAAATTCCTGATACTGGGAAGCCACTTCTGAAAATCTCATCTTGAATTTCTAATTCCAATTTCTAGACAACAACATATTTTACTTCTGCCCAAAGCACTGTGATTTCTTTATCATTTCTTCAGTAGGCTAAAAAGTTATCTGTGGGGGACACATCCTTGCTATATTCAGGTCATCAGCAAAACATGATACCTGGCTCACATGTAAGATTGTGTATTTGAAGAGCAAGTTTTTCTTACTTTTTGTTCAAGTATTGTACAATGAATTACAAGTTTGTAGTTCATAGAATATATTCATTAGTTAACTAATTTTAAGACCATTTCTTAGCTGCAATTCAATAAGATCAAACTTACAAAGGTGTATCTTGCATATAGTTTGAACATCATACATAAAGTAAGGCTTTAAATGACATAAAGATTTTTAAAAGTTATTTCTCACTAAACGTTTTTCCTACATGAAGTCTAAAAACTGCTCTTCCTATCTACTTTTTTTTCCTACAGCAGACTAGACCCTGGTTAATCTTTGACTTAGGACTTTAATTTGGATTTTTATCTTATTAAAATTGATCTGACTAAAATTGCAAACATTTTAATGCCATTTTTATGAGATGAAAGAAACCATTTTTTGTACACAAAAAATAGAAAAAAAACCCAAACAATTTCATCTCTCCCATTCCTTCTTCTCTGTCAGTAGTTTCCTACCACAAGCTCAATCTTGCAAGCTTTAAACTTCAGTAAGCTGTTATTATCACTGCTGACAGGAGCATCAAGAGTGCTCAGCATTTCTCAGTAGTGGGTCTAATGATCAGACCTGCAATGCCTTTGGCATAGAAATAGTCTCTTTGCAGTCAGTAGGACTCCAGGTATCCCTAAAAATAGACAATAATAGTCTCTTTTCTCTGAGTTCTTGAGGGTGGGTATATGTTTCCCTAAATCCTAAAATGCTAGGTTTTCATCTATAATTATAGATTAAATTTAAAAGGACACTTTTGCCTCAGTTCTAAAGGTAGGTTTTGATGCTTTTAACTTTGTTAAATTTTTTTACTTGATGACCAGAAAATGCCTATCAATTCAGAATTCAACTTATTTAAAAATTTCTTCAGCAGCAGCATTGGCATGCTGAAATAAGAAACAAAAAATCATGTTTTTCCTACCCTTTTCAGTACCCTGCTTGAAGGTTCTCGAAATGTGTTGCCTAGTTCATTTCTTTACTATTTTGAATTGTTGCACTGGGGCATGCTTCATGGTTGAAAGAATGCCATAAAAGTTACACTTTTTTTAGGGATACATCCACCTACCCAGTCATTTAGATGGATGTAGTCACGCAGAGAACTTAAATTCTATTTATTGCTACGTTCATGTAATAATTGAACTTAAACAGACTTGCTCATTACTTATCTTAGCATACATTGTAATCTGATGTTTAGAGCAGTGTAATGCATGATTTTGTACCTTGTATTTAAGAAATAGATGCAATTTTATTTTTCCTTGTATGGAGATCTCTTATGAAAGCAGACATGCTCAGAAGAAACATAGTGAGTTCAGACAGCCTGATCATCCATTATACTGCTCTATTTTTAATACACATCTGCTTGAAACATCCATGCGTCCCTGAAAATTATTCTTACACAGTCATGAATGCACAGTCACAGCACAAAAATCAATCACACGTACTATCGCTACAGATCATGTAAGTACCATATACTATCAGCAAGGTAAAAGTATAGTTGGGAAAGGAGGGGTTTTAGTGGTATTGACAACAGCCCCTGCTCTCTGATGCAAAGTGAGTGGGAGGGTACCTGATGGCGTCTCCTTTCATTCCTTGACAAGCCAAGCCAAAACCTACTGAGAATCTTCTGAGCCCACTGCTACCCAGCCTAGAAAGGCAACCTCCTTCATGATGCCTCTTCTCCTCTCAAGTGAGAAAACAAGAAACCACAGAGACTCTCCACTATGTTGAATCTCAGCTTAATTTCTGCTGTACTCTGTTCTGGTCAGACTCCACCTGGAGTATACAGGAAGGACATGGACATGTTAGAACAGGTTTAGAGGAGGGCCATGAAGATGATCAAAGGGCTGGAGCACCTCTCCCATGAAGATAGGATGAGAGAGCTGGGGTTGTTCAGCCTGAAGAAGAGAAAGCTCCGGCGAAACCTTACAGTGGCCTTCTGGTACCTGAAGGGGGCCTTCAAGGAAGATGAAGACAGGCTTCTTACAAGGACATGTAGTGATAGGACGAGGGAGAATGGCTTCAGACTGGAAGAAGGTAGATTTAGATTGGACATTAGAAAGAGATAATTCACTGTGAGGGTGGTGAGACACTGGCACAGGTTGCCCAGAGAAGTTGTGGATGCCCCCTCCCTGGAAGTGTTCAAGGCCTGGTTGGGTGAGGCTTTGAGCAACCTGGTGTAGTGGGAGGTGTTCCTGACCATGGCAGGGGGTTGGAACTGGATGATCTTTAAGGTCCTTTCCGACTCTAACCATTCTGTGATACAATTCATCCAACTAAGAACAATTAACAGTTCTTCCTCTGTACCTAACCTGAAATAGAGATCAGAGGTTGGCCAAGCTGATCATTGTCTTCTTGTGCCATGATGTGGATATTGCATTTATCATGTGCACACACAAGGAGAAAATTTAATATATAGCATAATAGGGTATGAACCAAACTTCCCAGAAGCCTTCCACTTTTACGCTGGTTAAATTTTTTCTAATGTATTATGTAACCAATGAGTAATTGGTATATTTTGCACTTCTTCTAATTCCTCTGTTCAAAGAAGGAAATAGCGGAAAAGCTCTCATGAAAAGTATATATTTCATGTATATAATTAAATACACCATAATCATATACTCGAGCCATAGTAATGATAGCTAATTTTAAATATTGTATATGTGCATGTATAATAAAGAGGTGCATAATAAACACACAATATTTATATACAAATTATAGATTTTGTCTATAGTAGTATCCACTGGTACTTCTACTTTCTAAGATAATTACATATCACTTTTGTCATACTTGATATAATTAAATACACCATAATCATATACTCGAGCCATAGTAATGATAGCTAATTTTAAATATTGTATATGTGCATGTATAATAAAGAGGTGCATAATAAACACACAATATTTATATACAAATTATAGATTTTGTCTATAGTAGTATCCACTGGTACTTCTACTTTCTAAGATAATTACATATCACTTTTGTCATACTTGAAAATTTTTCAG